ATATATAAAAATAATAATAAAACCGATTACTTGTTTCAGCTTAAAAACGGCTTTATTCTCAGTCCCGAGGCTAGCTGCTTCCAGCAGTGGGCAGCATAATGATTAAAATATCATTTCACCGTCTCTGGTCTGAACTCTGGGCACCACTAACTGACCCCTCCCAGCCACCGGTGAACATCGATCATCTTGTTGGAATTCAAGGATCTGCTGGGAAACCTCCTGCATTCAGTACCTCAGACTCACATCCTACTACGTAAACATTGTCGCAGACCGTGCACGCTCCTTTGTGGCAACAGCGCTCCCAGACATCAGTGGCCTCTCTAAACTGGACAATGCACCCTGAAAAAACATCTCAGGAACATGACAAGCAGTCCCAAGACCTTCAAAACTCCTCTTTTTATTCTGATTGAGCATTCATGGGGTGCATCAGAACAAATCTGAATCCAAGGAGGTCACAAACCCCTTAACCCACAGACCTAGTGTCCTGGTACCAGACGCTACAGGTCAGTCCCAGGTCCTGTTGTAATATTTAGCAGATGGTTCTACTGTTGTCTGATTGGTGTCAGATCCAGTGATTTTATCTTTTTTGTTTGGCATAAAGCATTTTGCCGACATGGTTTGGGTCCACCTGTCCCCTTAAAGAAAAGTGCTTCTGAGTCGTTGTCATGATCCGATGTGGAAACGTCTGCCCTGATGCAGAACCGTCTCCTCCAGGATGACAATGCCTCCATCCTTAGGTCATGAGACGTCACTGAATGGTTTGCTGAGGATGAAATGATGCTACGACCAGATTTCAGATGAGCTGGGAGATTTTGGACTCTCCACCAACGTCATCAAAACACCCAGTGAGTGAATATCATTTGGAAGAGTGGTGCTCCATCTCTCCAGTAGAGTTCTAGACACTTGGAGAACCATCGCTAAGGTTCATTGAAGCCTTTTTGGTGGCATGTGGTGGCCCATGACCTCATTTCATTTTACCATGATGTCACACAGGTAGATAAAATGATAAAATAGCAATTAAATGTGTTACTTGACTCGTTGTTGTGCAGAGGTCTTAAGAAAAAAAATTAAAAAATGGACGCCACATGCAAAAACAACCCTGTTATTGCTGCTGCTTCTTTTATCTTCAGAGTTTTTAGGAGCTGCAGATATTGCTTTGCTGCATATCACCGTCCTGCTTTGAGCTACATGTCTGGGTGAACCACAGCTGCATTTCCTTTGCATTTTATCACTCAGTCTAACTCAGTGGAAAGTTTCTGTGACAGGCAGCTTCAGTCCCCTTAAAACCACAAGAGCCCTCCCTCTTTGACACCTTTTGTTCTTTTTTTTCTTTTGATCTTGATAAATGTAACGCTGCACCACATTCTGTTCAGACGTCCTTCACCGTGGTTCTAAGAGCATCTTCGTCCAGCCGTTTAAAGGAACATCGAGGCATCATGAGGACCACTTACATCCTTCTGCTCTGCGTCCTGGGAGCTGCAATGCTGTCTACAGTTATCTGCCAACGTAAGATGACTTTAGATCATTATGTCATTTAGACAGAAGTGTTTCTTCTCACGGCGGCCTGATGGTACATCTCTCAATGCTCTGTTCTTCAGCTTCACTTGGTCCAGACGAATGCTGCTTCACATACTACCCGAGAAGACTGAACAAAAACCTCATCGGCTCATATGAGATGACTGATCACCGGTGCGCCAAGCCTGCAGTCATGTAAGTGCTGCAAACTGGATTTACTTTATTCTCATTATGTTAAACACAATCATCTAAATAAGTGTATTACTCAGTATCACGATGAAATTTAAAGTATGAAATTGGTTGTTGTTGTTTTGTGTCTCATTTTTACTCCAGTTATCAGTAAAGCGTTTCCTCGTGTATGTTTTTGCTCCGTAGCTGTTCTTATTTTGGATAAAAAGTCAAAGAACAGTGTCGATAGTGATAATGACGTTAACCTTTCTCATCTTTATCTTTCAGTCTGGTTACCAAACAAAAGTCTCGTCGCATCTGCGTGGATCCCAGTGTCCCCTGGGTCGGGGGCATCATGAAATATCTCGATGAGCGCTCCTTCTAAACCAGCTACCTGTTGGTCCGTCCAGCTTCTGCTGCTTCATCAAATCACATCCTATGAAATGCATGTAACCGTGTGCTCATGATTTTCCTAATAATGGGCAAATCTTCTACAAGTAACTAAAAACTTTGCTTTTTAGTGGCTTCATCTGGAGGCTGAATTGAGCCACTGATCAACCACATCCTGTTTGTGTAACGACCCTCTGATGCTTTGTATCACCCACAGCAGTATAAACCTCATATAAACACAGTCAGCAGTGTGAAAACTTCTTAATTTCCTCCTGAGCTGTCAAGTCTTGTGGTCTGTGCAAACCTTGATCAGTCTTCCTTAGAAATTGTCT